GTGTAAGAGTAACTTATATCACATTATTCTATAGCTATTGTATAAACGGAAGCCCAGAAATGTGTAAATAAAGGTTTGTGGAGATTTTGTGTGGAGGTCAAAGAGAATTCAGTCAGAAGAGCCTTTATTATAATTATTATTTTTTTCACCTGCCAGTTTTTATATGTATTTACAGATTTAATTTCAAAATTCAACCAGAAAAGAAATGAGATCGTCCTCTCAGCAAATTTCCGCTGATGACCTTTGTATCTTAACAGATGAATATAAATGTTTCCCAGGCTCTATGTTCACAGTTCTTTCTGTGAAACTAACACCTCTGTGGTCGTCCAGTTTCCTGTTAGAGACACACAACTGAGCGGCGTCCTGCAAACATTTAGATCCAAATGAGACGGTTTGTAAATCATCAAACTTCTTTAACTTCTTTTGCTACATTTTGTCAGAGTCAGATGAAATACTTCATTATTAAGATTTATTTGAATCTGGTCGAAGTGCAGAACCAAAGAAACTTTCCGTGAGGTTCAGGAACAATGATGTTTTTCTTCTGTGATGTCTGATGACAGCAATGAGTAGGTAGAGATTGAATGTCTGATAGTTTGCTGAGATGCATTTCTTTCTGCAGACGTGGGCAACTTTGTGGTCTCTTGGTTTGTCTCTTGCACATTTGCAGCAGATGTATTCAGCTTCAAATAAAACAACCACAACCTGGTGACATATGGGAATTATAGGTTATTTCTTTTGAAATAAAGATCCTTCCTTAAAATATGTACATCAATATCTAGCTTATCATCTAAGGTCCTGTCGCTGCTGCAGGAATCTCTATTTTATTCTGCAGTAGCTTCCTAATCTGTAGTTTCCTCAGCAATGAGGGCAGGACATGCTTATCAGGGACAAAGCATCTGCAGAGGAAATGATCAGCACATATTTTCCGAAGGACTGGTTTGTCGTTCATTTTTTGTTGTTGTTGCTCTTTTTCTGTTTACCTTGGCAAAGAGGAGAAAGCTAGAACTATTAATTGTGTTTTACATTTTTCACATCAGCTGTTAAAAAAGTGTTGAATGTATAAAAGGAAAAACTAAACCACTAAACAAGCAGAGATGCTCAGTACACATCTGCTGCAAACACTGTATAGAATGGTAGACATGGGTTGTGTCCAAATGTCTGCCTTAAACACTATATAGTGCACTATAGAGTGGTTACGTCATTTTAGATGACTGTCTGAATGTCTATTGGATGAAAAATTTGTGGACTCAAAAATTCCCACAATGCACCTTGAAAAATGGTGATAATCCATGGTCACTAGACGAGCAGGTATATCCGGAATGCATTGCGAGGAGAGTTCTCCTGGCAGAGCATCATGGGATTTATGTTCACAGTGCTTTGCTCTCAACTATGGCTATCGCTACCCGACAGCGCCGACAAATAACAAAGATGGCGCAGGTACCATGCGAGGAGGTGGAGTTACGTGACCAATAGGGAGCGAAAAGTTATCATTTTAGCAAACGGTCAGTTAACTGAGTTCACTATAAAGTCCATTATTTAGTTTGTGCTCTATATAGTAATTGAGGGATTTTGGGGTAAGGGCGGACGTTCGGACACAGCCATGGTTTTCTGTTTGCCATTTTCTTTCCACTTGTCAATTTAGCTTAAGAGTCCTGGATAGGTGTCGAAATGTCTTCTGAGAAAAAGTTTGGTTGCCTTCAAATTTAAGTCTGTTTTGTGGTCTGGCCAACACCTAAAAAAAATCTAATTCACTTTCATAGCTACTACTTACGGAACTGTGATAATTGGCCTTCTTAGGCCCCGTCCACACGAAGTCA